ACCGGTATTCACTGACAACGAGTAGTTACATTTCATTCGCGCATTCCGCCCAACATATGACCTAAACAGCGAAAAATAATATATGGGAAGAAGTAAGTATATACTTAGCTATCTCATTGACCTCCATGTAGCCAAGTCATTTGAATGATTAGCCGGACAGTATACGCCATAACAAGACCATATATCAGCCTAAAACAAAAGACTGACTACTCAAACTCGATGGTTCGGAAGGGGTCAGACTCATAGACTATATCGACTTGGCCGGCCGCGGTGAGTGCTCATTCTCGATGGTTCGGGAGGTATTGGGCGAAACCCCTCAGGCCTTTGTTTAGAAATTAATGGTTCTGAAGGTCCGGTGCGGAACCTCTGATGGCTTCGTAAAGGGGAGAAATGGTTCAGGAGCTCTAGCACGGAACCCTTCATGGTTTCGGAGAGGGATGTATGGCTGCGGACGTCTGGTACGAAACCCCACAGTATTTCGAAAAATGAGGTACGGTTCTGGAAGTCTGGAACGGAACCTCTAATGGCTTCGTAAATGGAGAAATGGTTCGGAAGGTGTGGTACGGAACTCAGGAAGGTTTGGCATCCGAAATGCGAAACCTCATTCAGCCTAATGATGTACGTAAAGGCTTGGTGGACTACCTTTTTTTTCCAGTGTACGTGCACTAGCTAGGCTTCGACAAAAATAAGTTTATTATCACAAGATTTCTGTGAATGATATCAAATGAATAGTGATCATTTAATATAAAAAGAATTGTTTTTTTGAACAGACTATAAGCGATTAAGATGAAGTGCCCACTACTTTTGGCATGACCTAAGTAATTCATCGTAGAGCTAGATTTTGATAATTTTGTAAACATTGTTTGTATTCAAACGAGCATGTACATGAAACATGATGAAAAGGGAAGGAAAACAATGCATCAGGCATAGTATTCGTTAATCGTTCCGTCATATGAGTCATTCATACTATCAAAGTAGTTATTGTCTTTTCATCATGATAGAGCAGTTGTTTTTCTTTCTTTTCATCATTGGTGTTTGATAAGAGAATAAAAATATGTGATAAAATTTTGAGAGTGTAGCAAAGAAGAAAAACCCGCAAGCATCATCATCGTGATGTGGAGTGGAAGATTTGTTCGATTAAAAAATGAATTTATTGAAATTATTTTAACAATACAACGAATAATAATGAATCCATTAATGATGACTTTACATTATCTTTGGATTGTAATTACATTTCAGGAAAAAAATTCGATTAAAAATGCTAAAAAATTAGCTGAGCAAGATAAAAACAATAATGAACATCGGATGCCTAATGAATTTATTCAAGGGGCAGCTGTTATTGTATATATATAATTAATTTGATGATTTTTATCAAAATAGTTTTGTTTTTCTTCTAGGCAGAAACAGCTTCACCATCATTAATTCTTCGTTCAGCATTAAAATTACAATTTTGGATGTTTTATTGGAATTTAGAACGTGAACGTGTTCATTTATCTCGAACACTTCCAGCAAGCTTAACATCACCTGGTCAGTTAATACCAGAAACAGCAAAATTAATACCGGTTTTAACTGAAAAAATTAATTTATTAAACGAAATTTTAGATGAAAATATTCCAATTATTTCTCTACGTTCATTACT